AATGACCCAAGATACATAAAACATGCTCAACTCACTAATCATAAGGCAAGTGAAAGTTAAAGTTGTATATTACCTTACACCTATCAGTTGATTGTTTATAAAAAGTTAAAGGTAAATACTGATGAATATATAGTAAAAGGCAAGACTTGGACCCTGTTGGGAAAACTGTAAATTTGTATAGTCACTGGAAAATTGTGTGATTGTTCCTCTGAACTCTAAATATAGAATTACCCTATGGTTAGCAATTTTACTTCTGGGTATTTATCCAAAGATAATTATATCACTATGTAGAAAGGATATTGGTACTCCTATGTTTATTGCAGCATTATTCACAAACCCAAACTTATGCAACTAATCTGTGTCCATCAATGTTATAATGGATAAAGAAATGTGAATATATGCATACACACCCTATAATATTCTTCCTTAAAAATGAGGGAAATATTTTCATTCTGTACAACATGGATGACCTTAGAAAACATTATGATAAATGAAAAAATTCAGGCATAGAAAGACAAATGTTGCACTTATGTGTGGAATTTTAAAACATCATGCTAATAAAACCAGATATAATAATTGTTTCTCTTAGGGAATTGGCACCAAAACAGACTGGTAGACTGGGAGATTGAAGATGTTGGTACAAAGGTACAAAGTTTCAGTTAGAAAAGAGAAATGTTTTTTTTTTTTTTTGAGATCTGCTTATATACTATGATTTTAAAATTGCTAAGACAGTAAATTTAAAATATTCATACTAAAAAGTGATGTATTTGAGGAGATAAATATGTTAATTAGCTTTATTTACTTATTATACATTGTAGACATATATTATATCCTCACTTTTTACCCCATAATATATACATTATTTTTCAATATATAATTTTAAAAGATCAGAATCCAAATATATATCTACACTCCATGTTCATAGTAGCATTATTCACAATAGTCAAGGAATGTAAGCAATATAATTGATCATCAACAGGTGAATGGCTAAAACTATAAATGCATGTATTTGAATATTATTGTTTTAAAATGAAAGAATAATCCTGCCTTTGTGACAACTTTAATGAACCTGGAAGACATTGTACTAAATGAAATAATCTAGACATAAAATAAGAAATGCTACATAATTCAACTTATAGGAGCCTTCTAAATTATTCTAAACCATAGAAGAAGAGAATGGAATGGAGTTGGCTGGGGAAAAGGGAGTTACTAGTTAAAGGGTATGACAATTCAATTATGCAAGGTGAATTTGTCCTAGAAATCAAACTGCACAACATAATTAACAATACTATATTATATATTTAGAAAATTGGTATGAAGGTAGATCTCATGTTAAATGTTCTTATAATATAGAATAATAGTCAAAAGAGGCCTCTGCTCTGTTGTATATTAATGCTTTATTTTAAAAATAATTTTATAGTTGTAGATGGGTAGCATGTATTTATTTTATTTGTTGATTTTTGTGCAATGCTAAAGATCGAACCTAGCGGCTCACATGCTAGTTAAGCATTCTGTCACTGAGCTACCACCCCAGCCCACAGTCCTTTAGTTTTTGCTCCAAGGAGGTGTCATGGTGAAACCAGAGTTTTGAGATGAAATTATATTTTCACTTCTTCTGGCAGATGGGGTCTGTGCAGGCTGCAGATTTCATCAATTTTCTTCTGGGTTCTTCTCTCACAAACCTGAAGAATAAAATTTACATACAATAATGAAAGGGAAGATTGATTGGTGTGGGATTTGTTTTGGAGGAGATAGAATTCCCATGATGTGGAAGGGGACCTTATAGTGTTACAGGGCTGGAACCTTCTGGAAAAATGAGGCAGCATTAATGTCCCCCTCTTCAAACCCTGATTCTTTTGATCAAGTCTGAAATATTTCAGACATCTTAGTTCAGAGTTACAGGCATGAGTTTATTGCCTGGAATAATGGCTTGTCAAGAAAGAGGTCAGTCATCTTATTTCTAGTTCAAACAATGTGTTTGTCTCAAACATTAGGCTCTGCCAGCAGCTATAACTTGCTAATAAGCATTAGTTTATAAAAAGGGGGAACTCATGAAAATAGAAGGAGAACAGTGAATTAGAGGAAAGGAATCAAGGGAGAGGTAGGAAATATGGGATAGAAAACAAGAATGGAATGAGATTGAATAGGAAAATGGAAGGGGACACTTTAAAGGGAGGGGGTGAGTCCTCTCAGAGGGGGAGGGACCTTGTGCCTCTCCTGAACTTCAGTTTTATTAGGGATCTCAGAGAAGTTTCCAGTGAGTCCTGCCCAAGTCCACCTCTTGACTTTTGATTGACAGCAGGATAACATCAGACTTTCAAGTTCCCATTGTCCCATTGTTCCCATCTCTAGGTCTATGCTGTCAGGTTCTAATTTGATTATTTTTTATATTAAAATATTTTTATGAGTGTATTATTGTTATATATGACAGTGAATTTCATTGTGACATATTCATACGTGCATAACATAATTTGCTTCATTTTCATTACCCAGTACTTCATTTTCCTCTTCCTTCCTTCTCCTCCATCTCCTCCCTCTACTGATCTATTTATTTTTTTAAAAAATTGGTGCATTATAATTATACATAAAACTATGATTTATTGTGATATATTCACATATGCACATAGCATAGTCAATCTCATTCCATTATTTTCTATCCCATATTTCCTGCCTCCCCCTTGATTCCTTTCCTCTAATTCACTGTATGCCTATGTTCGTGAATTTCTTCTCTTTATAAACTAATGCTGATTAGCAAATTATAGGTGCTCACAGAGCCTAATGTTGGAGACAGACACATTGTTTGAACTGGAAATAAGATGACTGACCTCTTTCTTGACAAGCCATATTTTTTCAAAGTACAAAATCAAAATTTAGACTTCAAAATATCCTTCTATGAAGTAATTTTGTAAATGAACTTAACTCTGAAATATTTTCTAAGTCTAGTTGAATTATCTTTTTTTCACATGAGCATTTATTAAATCCTCATACCGTTAAGCAGCCCCAGTTATTAGCCTCACTTAGAGACCATGAAATAGTTCCACAGAGGATTCATCACTCTCTCAAGCCACACAGACTGTTACCTGTGAGAACTACAGCTGTTCTTAAGCTTGTGATCTGAATCCCCATACTGAATCTAATATGATTGCTGTCTTCAACATATTTTTAAAATGTATTTATTTATTCTAATTAGTTATACATGACAGCAGAATGCATTTTGATTCATTGTACACAATTATAGCACAAGTTTTCATTTCTGTGGTTGTACATGATGTAGTGTCACACCATATGTCCAGTCATACATGTATCTAGAGTAATGATGTCCATCTCATCTTTCCTGCCCCCATGTCCCTTCCCTTCCCCTCCCTCCCCTTTGCTCAATCACAGGTCCTCCATTTTTTCCCATGCCCTCCTGCCCCCATTATGGATCAGCATACACTTATCAGAGAGACCATTCGGCCTTTGGTTTTTGGGGATTGGCTTACTTTGTTTAGCATAATATTCTCCAACTCCATCCATTTACCGGAAAATGTCATAAATTTTATTTTCTTTTAATGCTGAGTAATATTCCACTGTGTATATATACCACAGTTTCTCTATCATTCATCTACTAAAGAACATCCAGTTTGGTTCTACAATTTAGCTATTGTGAATTGAGCTATAAATATTGATGTGGCTGCTTTACACTGCTGATTTTAAGTCCTTGGGTATAGATGGAGGAGTTTTCCAAGGAATGTCCACACTGCTTTCTAGAGGAAATGTACCAATTTGCAGTCCCACCATCAATGTGCCCTTTCCCCCACATCTTCGCCAACACTTACTGTTATTTGTATTCTTAATAGCTGCCATTCTGACTGGCATGTGATAAAATCTTAGAGTAGTTTTGATTTGCATTCCTCTAATTATTAGAGATGTTGAGCATTTTTTAATATATTTGTTGATGGATTGTATATCTTCTTCTGAGAAGTGTCTGTTAGCCCATTTATTGATTGGGTTATTTGTTTTTTTGGTGTTAACTTTTGAGTTTTTTATATGTCCTGGAGATTAGTGCTCTATCTGACATGCATGTGGCAAAAATTTGCTCTCAAAATGTAGGCTCTCTCTTCACTTCATTGTTTCCTTTGCTGAGAAGAAGCTTTTTAGTTTGAATCATGCCATTTATTGATTCTTGATTTTATTTCTTATGCTTTAAGAGTCTTGTCAAGGAAGTCGGAGCCTAATCTGACATGATGAAGATTTGGACCTACTTTTTCTTCTACTAGGCTCAGGGTCTCTGGTATAATTCCTAGGTGCTTGATCCACTTTGCGTTGAGTTTTGTGCATAGTGAGAGACAGGGGTTTAGTTTCATTTTGGTGCATATGGCTTTTCAGTTCTCCCAGCACCATTTGTTGAAGAGACCATCTTTTTTCCAATGTATATTTTTGAAGCCTTTGTGTAGTATGAGATAATGGTATTTCTAATTGGATTCTTAACGATGCTTTCTTATAGAGGTTATAATAAGGTGGGATTTTTCTTATCTCCCTGATTTCTGGGATCTTGTTTATGAAAAGGGTCACAAATGTCCACCCTTTCAGAATAACACTCCTTTTATTGGCATTATTTTGGGCCTGCATTTCTCCTGCAGATAACAGGTAATTTGCTGAAGAATGTGACATATCTTGTTCCCTTAAGCCAGGCAGGTCTACGGGTAAGTTGCCTCTTGTTAAAGAAAGCAGTTGGGGATCAGCACAGTGGTTGCATTTTATAGAATTCTTCCTTTAACTTCATATTCCCACTACTTGCCCCATACCAATAGGAGGAGTGACAATTCCTGGGTAAGATTTGACTAGGGTGGTGATAGAGGGAATTAGATTTTCAGGAGGATGAAGATATCAACTACTTATAAGCTGATGTAGAAGCATTTCAATGTTTTAATCACTGGGATACCTGTACTGGGAGTACCAGCTAAAATGTCAGCCTTAGTGTGTGATAAAAATATATGCTCTTTTCTCCTTTTTTCTAGAAAAACCTAAGATTTATGAGAAGGATACAGACTTGAAGACCAATAATGCAGTATTCCTGGGAAGTGAGAACACCCTTCGCTGTACTGCAAGTGGCCTGCCTTCACCCTCCTTCATGTGGGCCTGGGAGCCCTGTAGCCAGACAGATGAATTGTAAGTGACTTTCATGCCCAAGGACCTGGCACAATTTTAGATCTTCTGGATTTACTGAGTTACATACAGATCTGACAGACTCAAGATCTTAGCAGAATATTTTTTCCCTTTAATCTGATATGAGAGCTCCTGGGATCAGGGATATTGGATGGGGCCAAGGAAACCAAAGGAGGAAGTACTCCAACAATGCCCAAGCTCCAGGGTTTGGCTGATTCTCTCCTTCCAAAGTCACAGCTTAAAATAACTAGTGGCATTTAGATGTAGGTTATGAACTGATATTTTAGTAGGAATGGTACAAAACAGGGAAGATTTCTAAACATCTGTCATTGCACAGAACAATTCAGTAATGAGCTAGGGAAGTGGACATGTCTTATCTGTTTCAGAACCACTCCTATGATAAGTCTTATTGGAATAGTAATCATGGCTCAAAAATTTGTCAGCATCTTTATATTCAAATACACTCATTTTATTTTACTATGATCCTTGCGTAGGATGGAAGAAAGGGATTCCTCTTTCTCAGTAAACAGCGAAGACAGAGAAGCAAAATGGGGATAAATGACTCATTTTTTTAATTTTTAATTTTTTTTATTTATATATGACAGCAGAATGCATTACACTTTTATTACACATATAGAGCCCAATTTTTCATATCTCTGGTGGTATACAAAGTATATTTACTCCAATTCGTGTCTTCATACATGTACTTTGGATAATAATGATCATCACATTCCACCATCATTTCTAACCCCATGCCCCCTGCCTTCACCTCCAACCCCTATGCCCTATCTAGAGTTCCTCTATTCTTCTCATGCTCCCTCTCCCTATCCCACTATGAATCAGCCTCCCTACATCAAAGAAAATATTCAGCATTTGGTTTTTTGGGATTGGCTAACTTCACTTAGCATTATCTTCTCTAACTCCATCTATTTACCTGCAAATGCCATGACTTTATTCTCTTTTATTGCTGAGTAATATTCCATTATGTATATATGCCACTTTTTTAATCCATTCATCTATTGAAGGACATCTAGGTTGGTTCCACAGTTTAGCTATTGTGAATTATGCTGCTATAAACATTGATGTGACTGTGTCCCTGTAGTATGCTGTTTTTAAGTCCTTTGGGTATAGACCAAAGTGAGGGATAGCTGGGTCAAATAGTGATTCCATTCCCAATTTTCTAAGAAATGACTCATTTATCACAACACAGTCAAAGCAGAAATAACAATGAGAGTAAGGTACCCTGACTATTAGCCCTTTGAACTTCTATTTATCAAAACCCCACTCTATGCCTAGTACATATTAAATACTTTGTTTTTTGCTTTCATCCAATAAGCTCCATTTCAGAGTAGCTTCTTCAACAAGGAGTTGAAAGTGCCTACTATAAAAATCAGAGAAAGGAAATGGAAAATTCAGAGAGACCAAATGAATTGCCTCAAATTCCAGAATGATTAGCATTTAAGAATACTTGGTTTAAAAAGAACAGATAAAAAATTTTTTAAAAAGAATACATGGTCAATACTAAACTATTTTATATCATAAAATTTCTCTACAGGCCTGCTATAGTCAAGAAATTCTATGCCTTGGAATAAATCTGAAATTCTATAAACAGTTTATCTGAGTTCTAGGTAATTTCTAAAGGATGACATATTTTCTGACCAGGAAAGTTAATCTGATTAAGTCATTGCTGCACTGTGCTGAACTCAAGTGAAGTTCTGAGCACATAGTCATGAGTGGTCAATAACTAGGAGCTGGCTTAGCTTTGGGTGGAGAGGCCTTGACTCAGAGGGAATGTAGGGAATATGGCCTTCAGACCAAGATCTAGATCTTCAGGTAGGAGGGGCTTTTGGTCTGTCTTACAAGTAGTGTCCAACAAACTTCCATAAGAGAGCTACATTTAGTTGCTCCCTGCCTACAACTCTTTTGGAAGCATCCTTATTTCTTCACAGTAGGCACTCTTGAGGATGGTAACAGTAGTGCTGCCTACTTGCTCACTTTTGGTTTTGTTTAGTTCCCTTGCTCATTCTGACATTCTATAATCCATAATTCACACCTGTTGCTCTCACTTGATTGAAATGCAGTGAAACTAGTTGCATTATTTTTGTACCTTTTAATGAGCTTGTTTGGAGGGCAGTGCAGCTACTCGTATATCCTTGACTGAAGAATGCTCCTCCTCTATCAGGGAAGGTCATTCTCTTTGACCAAGGACTCAGCTTTGGTAAGGAGAAACAAGAAGCAGTGAGGGAGGAAGGGGATACCTGCCTATCCAGTCAGATCAGCTGAATCAACCCTGGAAACCAATAGGGTGATGGATGTTGCAGCCAGATTGCCCTCACATTCTGTTGCTTTTTAAAAATGGGTTCTTTTTAGTTATTCATGAGAGTAGAATCCATTTTGACACAATTATAAAATCATGGAATATATCTTGTTCTAATTAAGTTCTCAGTACTTCTCTTTACTCTTCTCTCACTCCCTGTTCCCTTCCCTTTGGTGATCTTTCTGCCATTTACCCATAGGTATTTTTTTAAATTGATTTCTTTTGATGTACACAATGATGAGATTCGCTGTGTTATATTCATGTATGTACATAGGAAAGTGTCCTTCCTTTACCCATCCCCCCTCTTCACTTCATTCTTCTTTGTCTAGTACACTGAACTTTTTGCACCTTTCTATCTGAAGGAAAAGAGAAGGACTGAGTAAATATTTTTTTTTCTGACATAAGTGCCTTTTTGAAGTGCCTTTCCGAACAAAATTTACATTAAGTTAACAATTACTGAACACTTACTATATTCTAGGAGAAATTCTAGTTCCTGTCAGACACATTCATTTGAAACTCAATCCTCACTGAATTCTTTAAACAAGCCCATAGGGTAGCGAATATTAGTTCCACTTCCACAGTTGAAGAAACAGCTCAGAAGGGCAAGTAAGTTGTCAGAACAAAGACCTAACAGTGCCTGGATGTGAATTCCATATCTGCTGAGTACAAGTTCAGTACTCTTATCATTTCCTCCAGTAATGTACCTTCCTGTGGATCTTACTTGAACAACAAATGCCTAGAACTCTGCTCCTTTGACACTTTCTTCTTTGGTTAAGTTTCAGAGCAGGAAAGTTCATTTGGAAGGAGGTAAAAGTAAAGGAGAATCTCAAATGGCTTCATATTCTACTATAGTCTAGAAACAAGAAAGTAGAAAAATACTCAAATTTTGAGCTCAGCTAAATTTCAACTAAATGGACCTTTTTTATTCTTTTTTTTACATTATGAATTTTTAATCCCAGCCACCAGATACACAAAGATTTTTGTTGAAATTGGATTCACAAATTCCTGTTTTCTCTAATGTTCTCAAAAGGTAACTGAGCTAACTGAAATTTATTTTTATTGGTATATTATGATTATACATAATACTCAGATTCATTGTGACATATTCATACATATACATAATTCAGTTTCATTCTCCAGTAGCTCATGTTTCCCTTCCCTCTTCCCTCCACCTTTTCTTCTTCCTCAACTCTACTAGTCTCCCTTCTATTTTCATGAGGTCTGTTTTCTCTGTAGCTTCCACTCATGAGAGAGAATTAATGGTCTTTGACTTTGTGACTCTGGCTTATCTAGCTCCATTATTCTCATGAGATCCATCCATTTTTCTTCAAATGACATATATGGACCTTTTGTTTTTTCAACACTTAAGGTATGCTTCCAGATCAGTACATTTGAAATAGCTATTTACTCCACTTAGAATTGTTTTCCCTGAGAAATCTTCATGGTTTATATTTCTTTCAGAACTCTACTCAAAAATCACTTCCTCAGAAAGGACTTTCATGAACATACTATCTTCTATTATCTTCTAATTTCGAACTATCTCTCTCTGTCTCTCCATCTCTCCATCTCTGTCTTTCTGTGTGTGTCTAGAAAAGAATATTAGAGACTAAGTAATTTATAAGCAGTAGAATTTCATTCAACTCATGAATATACAAGTTAGAACTTTCAGAAATATGGCTCTGGAACCTGGTGAGGGCCTTAGTGTAGCACTGAAATGTAGCAGAAGGGGGAAGGGAAAAAGAATGAAAGAGCAAGTTAGAGCAGATCTTGCGTTTATCATAATACTGCTACCATGGTAATGATTTCAATCAATTCATGAGAGCATCACTTAATCATTTTCTATTAAAGGTCCCACCACTTAGCACTGTTGCATTGGATATTTAGTTTACAACATATAAATCTTAAACAATATATTAAAAAATAGCACCAAATAATTGCTTTATTTGCATTTAACCTAGATGAGATTCAAATTATTTTATTCAATAATAAAGGAGACTTGTGAGGATTCTCTGGTAAAAGTCCTTCCCTGATTAATAGAATGTACTCTCTGAAGTGCTTGATATACCTTGTACCCTTTTTGGTGAAAAGACTGAAAATGCCATCTCTTTCTTTACCAGTTGTAGGGAACGGGGCAAACGTATATATCTTTCCAAAGAGACTTTGAAAAGTGACCTCCCTTTGAGCAACAGGATCCTTTCCATTGAGGAAATGGTATTGACACATGGAGAAAAGTCCAAGGTAGGTAGATGATTGAAAGTTACTGTGGTAGAAGTGATCTTAAAACCTCAATAAAGTAAGTCTATTCTTCAGGCACTGATATTAATTTCCAGAAATGCCTAGGGGCTAGGGTATGGTTGAAAATTATACTGATTATAAAAAAGCTTATAGCTTATAAAAATAAATATTGTTATTATAATTAGGATGTAGCTTTCTTTCTTATAAAGCTTCTCTTTAGTCAGCTCCTTTTATGTCCCAAGGTCATGAAAGTAGTAAAAATGTGCTTGAAATAAGAGTTTTCTGATAGCCCTTGCTCATCTTGGTTTCTGGAGTCTCAGGTTGAATTGTGTTAAGGGGACCGTGGAAGTGTTTTAATGGTCCTAAGGATCAAATATATAACAGCACTCACAGCCAGTTAACCTTGGTGCTGTGAGATCTTTGTTTAATGCAATGAGAGAGGTGAAGGATAAAGCATGATGGAAGATGGGAAAAAAACCATAAATTGTAATATTGATGAATCTGCCAAGGATGGCAATGCTGTATGATGGAAAATTCATCATATTGGGACCCAGAAGATTTGTGTTGGAATCTTGGTTCCATCAGTTAATCACTAACTGTGTAAATTTAAGCAATTCACTTACCCTCTCTGGATCTTAGTTTCAAAATCAGTAAAATGTATGTATGTATTCATTCATTCATTCATCAAACTGTTACTATACCTGGGATGGTGATAAATATAAAGCAGACATCTCTTCCATTTTCATGGAGCTTATTGTGTATAATGGGATGTGGATAAAAACCATGGGTCAATATTTTAAAAATACAAGTTATTAAAAATTTTATGAAGAAAAATCGAGCATAATAGAGAGTAGAACCTACCCTACTTTGGATTAAAAATAGCTACTTTGACAGAGAAAGACTTTATGAAGAAGAAACATTTAATTTCATACTTAAAAGATAAGGAGACATTCATGTAACAAAGTATGCTCTGGGCTAGGCTAGTTCTGTTCAATAGAAATATAATGTGGGCTACAAATAAATTCTGAATTTTTCTGGTAGCTACATTATGCAAAGTAATAATAAACAGATGAAATTAATTTTGATGATATATTTACCCAGCATATCTAAAATATTATTTCAATTAAAATAGCATAAAATATTCATGAGGTATTTTTCAATATTTTTTTTCATACTAAGTCTTTGAAATCCTTGTGTATATTCTATAATTAAAGAACATATCAATTTGGAGTAGCAACATTTTAAGTACTCAGCACTTGTGACTTTTCACCACCATATTGTACAGTTTATGTCTAGCCATTTTTTTAAGGCCTTGAGGCCATAAAGACTTTTGTACATTTGAGTAACATTAAAAAAAATCCAGTGTGGCTAAAACATGATAAGTAAAGGAGACACTAAAAATAATTGAAGTCTGATAACAGACATGGACTTGATAATATAAGGCCTTGAAGGAATAGTGAATATTTTATATTTCATCCTGAGCACATAGGGAAGCTGTCTAGTGATTTTGAGAAACATGGCTCTATGAATTTTTAATGAGCTTACTCTGCTGTGTTATTTGCTTGGAAGCTCTATTTTCTTTGAAGGAGGCAAGAGAGGATGCAGAAATCAGAAGTCTTTTTTATGTTCTTGGTAAGAGTGACAACTGTTGATACTAGAATTGTTGTAGCATTGACAGAAATAAGAAGATTTTTGATGTTTTGAAGTTTTTTGTGGATTGGTAAGCTGTGAAGATAGGGGAGGGAAATAAAAAAAAAATATCAAGTATTCCTAGATTTTTGTCATGCCAGTTGGTTGCTTCCAGTGACTGATATGGGAAAGAGTAAGGGAATAGCATATTTTCATTAATGGGAGGTTGAATCAAGGGCTCAATTTTAGATGTGTTGGTCTTATCTAAGAAATTATGTCAAGAAGGAAATTGTAAATATCAGGAGCTCTGATAATAGTAAGACTGGATATATGAAATGTGAAGTCTTGTTTTGTTGAAGATTTTAATGGCATGGAACTTGGTGAGCTGAGGAAAGCATATGGAAGCCAGGTCTGAGTTCTGGGTCCTTCATCATGTATAAGTCAAACTAAGAGGGAGGATCCATGAAAGCAGATAGAAGAATGGTCAATGATGTAGCAAGTAAATTAGGGAAATGGTTTCCTGGAAATAAAGAGAGAGAATTGTGTCATGGAGGGAATGACTGATTCTATTGAATGCAATTAAGTGCTCAAGTAAGATGAAGACAGACAAATGTCCACTGGCTTCACAAAGTTATATCAATATTTTAATCTCTTTTGATACAGCTTCTTTCTAGACATTTCTTATATTCCTTTGGAGATCATGTTACCTTACTTTTACATGCTTCATGTGTCCCTAAATTAATATTTGTTCATATGCCAGATCAGTTCTCTCTACCAGTTTTATAGGGTGGCTTTTTATTGACTATGTATCCTGGATGTCAGTTGGATAGGCTCTACTGACTTTGGTTGCAGGTTGGAACTTTAGTGTAGAATCCGTGTATCTTTTCCTGCTGTAATCTATATTGGTAAATGTCTGGGAATGTCTCGATATCTCAAACTTCAGGGGTTGTGGGATTGAACTGATGGCTGTGAGGCAGCTCTCTAATTCAATGTGATTTTCCTGTCCATATCTGGTTTTTGTCCTATAGAGTTGTTTATAAAATAAAAAGAGAGAGTATATGTAAAATACTTACCATTGTCTCCAGCACATTGTAAAATGTTTTATTGAAATGTTAGTTGTTGTTTTTTGAAACTTAATGTACTTTGTTGCAATATTGTTAATTCCTGTATGGTATTCTTGTGAATGACTCTATAAGTTGTTTTGATTTCCTCTTGAAATTGGATATTATCCTATTTCTAATATCTTCCTAAGAGATCCATACTCAAAGAAGACCTTGACTAGAATGTTTGTCAAATGTATTAGTGAATAAATAAATATATACCACTTCCTATATAGCCTCATGCATCAGTCAGGATAGCCTAGGTTGTACGGTGATAGTAAATGCCTCCAAAATCTGGTTTAAAATTATAAATATTTATATCTGCAGGAAGGCTTTTTTAAAATTTTAACTCTTTAGGGATACAGGCTGACACATTACATTTTTATTTTAACCCTATAGGGATACAGGCTGTTCAAATATTGATAATCATCATGCCAGAAGCCAAAAGCTATGGAGGGTTTTGCAATACAAAATAAATGTTCCAGTTTAGAAGAGACACACAGCATTACCACTTTCAAATCATTGGCCAGAATAAGTCACACAGCCTCATTTAATCACGAAGGAGCCAGAATGGGAATTCTTACTATTTTTCTGGAAGGGAAAAGAGTCAGAAATATTTAGTGATGAGCACTAATTGCTACCTTATCTTATAACTGTGATTAATGAATTTCTTTTTCTCTCTTTAAGACCCTGAGCTCACTGACCATACTGACCAGCAATATTTCTGGTATATATTACTGCATAGCTGTAAACAAGGTTGGCATTGATGAGAGAAGCATACAGTTCTTTGTCTCAGGTAAACTTTGAACTTGATAAGATAAAGCTGTCCTCTGTGATTTGATTCGATGTGGCTGGGAAATGTGACTTTTCATGGTTAGCTCAACTACACACCAGACAAGATGCCTGATAATATATCATTGAAAATTCATTGTTTAGGATTAAAGTAGAATCCTGCTGAAATGAAAATACATTGGGGGAAGGCAATATATTGAGTCCCTTTAACACCAGCCTTTTAACACCAGCCTTAGTCTGAGTCTGATTAATATGGTTTCCTTTTGTGTATTAAGGTAATTTATATTTGCCCAACTCTCTTCAAATCATTATCTAATTTGCTTCTTTCAGAAACTTTTGAAATTAACAATCTAGATGATAAATGATGAGAACCAAAGCTTAATTTTTGATTCTTAAAATGGCATAGAACTTAAGTAGATGTTACCTTAGTTTTACATGCTTCATGTGTCCCTAAATTAATATTTGTTCATCTGCCAGATAAGTTCTCTCTACCAGTTTTATAGGGTGGCTTTTTCCTGACTATGTATCCTGTATGTCAGTTGGATAGGCTCTACTGACTTTGGTTGCATAGAAAAGCATGTAAAAGTAAGGTAACATCTACTTAAGTTCTATGCCATTTTAAGAATCAAAAATTAATGGCATAGAACTTAAGTAGATTATTGTTTATTGAAAATTTATTTGTAATTTTCTTCAGTATCTTAAGCAATTATTCTTTAAAACTGAAAGCATTATAATTAATTATAAATCATTTAAATATTTGACACACGGTTGAATAATTTCTTAGGCCATTTACTTAGCTATTCATTTGGAGAAGGTGAACATAGATTTTAGAATCAGATGGGTCAGCCTATTTTTAAGCTTTGTCTCTTATTTTCTGAGGGATTGTACGATGTTGAGCAAGTCACTTCAGCTCCTTGATCTTGTTTTCTCATCCACAAAATGAGAGTGATTGCATCCATTCTAGAGAGTTAATGCAGGAGGAATGATGATTAGTGAGATAATATCTATTAAAGATTCTATCATATAGGAGCTCCTAAACAGATGCTCATTATTATGCACATAATCTCTAACAGTGAGAAATAATGAGAATATATATAGTCTGTGTAGCACAGTGGTTGGCATAGAATCATGTTGGAAGATCAGTATGTATTTTTCTCTATGTGCTTTACTCCTGTCTTATTTTGTTCCTATGGGCTAATGAAAAGGCATGTGATAGAATTTAGAAAAGAAGGAAAAATGTGAGCAGGTCAGGTATGAGGACTACAAGAAAGCCTTATCATACCAAGATGGAAGTAAGGTGGCTGGCTAGGAGAGCAAATTCTGAAGTGAACTTTAGAGAACTTAATACTTCTTACCACTAGTTAGTGATATATAATGAGAATCACAATTGTGTTTACCATTTGAATAATGAAAGAATTATGTGAAACTTCAAGGATGAAGAGAAGAAAGCAAATGGAACAAACATGCTGTCTGGAATGTTGATGAAAATCTTTACTTTTTGAAGTCAACTTTACTTCCAATTATCTTTCCTGGCACTGGGCTGAGGCCTCACATCAAAAAGCAGGGTGTTCCATATCTAACTAACATTGATACATCAGATGTGAAGAATTGCTATGACTAAAAAGTTTTATTCAGATGAGAGCTTGAACAAAAGCTATAGGGAGGAGTTGGAGAATGAAACAATGAATAATTTACTGGCATAGATAGATGCTACTGCAGATAGCTTCTGGGAACTCAGTGGCTCACACCATCCCCAAAACAAGGGCTTCTGAAGGCATTCTGGAAACATCAGATCAGTGATACTGTCCTGTATACCATGGCAACTGGTAAAGTATAACAACAATAACAACAACAACAACAATAGTGGCAGCTAAAATTCACTAGGCACTTACACTGTGCCAGGTACTCTACTATGTGATTTACATGGTTTAACAAAAGTAATTCTCACCACAATTCTATTAAGCAAACACAATTATCCCCATTTTATAGGTGAAATTTCTGAAGTACAAGTGCAATATAGCTAGAATGGAGTGAAGCTAGACACAATAGCTTTTGACAGTATATACCCAAATACAGAATAATAACCATACCATATAGAGAAATTTGGTATGGCCTGCAAAGGAATCTTCTTTTATCACAAGCAGTATGAGAAAGAGTGCCTTGATGAATGAAAGCATAAGTCTTATGGGCTTGTCATCTGTCCAAAAGAGTCCAATTTCTTTTGACAAATTTCTCTCTGATGACCACTGCTGTAACAACTCTGTCTCAGAGTGGTTCTTTTCCTCTCTTAATACCCGTAGCCAAAGATAGAAAAGCATACATTTCTTGGGTCCTTTGTATCTTGGCTAGGTCAAAGCTGAACTGTTCAATATTATTTTATTGAACAATTATTGCACATTATTATATGATAAGGTTTCATGCCTTATGCTTTATCATGAGATAGGCATATAAAGGAATTTTTAGCATACCTGAGTATAGAACTTATTGCTGTGAAAGGTGTAAGGCCAGAGTGCCAAGTGTGGGGACTGCCAAAAACAATTCACTTTTTTCTTCAAACTCCACTAACCATGCTTCCAATACATTGAATTTAGCAGTAATTTCATTCAACCCTTCCCTCAATTCTCTTTTCCATGAAAACCGATGATGATTTTTAGTCATTTCTCAAGAACTCTTGCCAAGACTTAGAGATTGTTATGCTTATGTTTATTTTTTTTCTGAACTGTTCCTAGAAAAAGGCTGAAAGATTTTGTTTATGCATCAGACATCTTTCTTTTTGTGGGGATATACAAATATATTTTTATTCTTTTTATTAATTGTAATAATTCTATGTAAATGGAGTTCACTGTGGAATTTTCAAATATGCTTGTGATGTGCACTAATCAAATCCAACCACTCTTTTTCACCAATCCCCTGGATATACCCTTCCAAGTCCCTAGTAATAAATATTCTACTTTCAGGTTAACTTATTTTTAGTTCACACATATTAAGTAGACCATGCTGTACTTGTCTTTCTGTATCCACCTTATTTTACTTAACAAAATGTCCAGTTTCATCTAGTTTGCTGAAATAACAGGATTTCATTCTCTGTGGTTGTGTCTGTATACAAAATATATATGTATCCATTTTTCTGTTCATAGACCCCTAGGCTAATTCCATATCTTAGTTATGGTGAATAATGCCAGAATAATAAACAAGACCATTCAGATATCTCTTTGGTATGTTGATTTCATTTCCTTTGGATATATACCCAGAAGTGGCATAGCTGCATTATATGGTAGATCTGTGGGGTTTTTGTGGTTTTTGAGGAACATCTATACTGTTATGTATAAATGCTGTACTAACTTAAATTTCCACCAGTAGTACACAAGAGTTCATTTTTTCTGAACATTCTTGTCTTTTGACTTTCCTATGCCTGGATATTATTATCCTTATCAGGGTTTGAGAAATTTTCTGTTGATATTCTCAAGTCCTACTTGAACATCAATGAATAAAATATTTTCTCTTCTCTTTTAATGTTATCATAATATACCCACATTATTTCCCCATTCCTTTTCATTCTTTTGTCCTTTTACTCCTCTATTTTCAAATTGCCTGCCTTTGAGCTAATTCTTCTGTTTGATCTGTTCTGCTATTGATGCCTTCAACCCATGTTTTAATTTTGTTTGGTATAATTTTTTTTTTTTTTTGTATCATAGATTGAACTCAGGGGCACTCTACCGCTGAGCCACATCCCCAGCCCTTTTTGTATTTTATTTAGAGACAGGGTATCACTGAGTTGCTTAGTGCCTTTCTTTTGCTCAGGCTGACTTTGAATTCACAATCCTCCTGCCTTAGCCTCCCAAGCCGCTGGGATTACAGGTGTACACCACTGCGCCTTGCATTTATTTGGTATAGTTTTAAACATAACAATTTGTATGATTTTTAAAAAATTACTTCAAATTGTTAAGTTTCTCTTTTAGAGTATTGAGTCATTTTTTCTAAGTCTGTTCTAGAAATTTGTTGAATTTCCTTTGAACAGCTATTTTCAATTCTCCTTTTGAGAGTTTGCAGGTATTTGGTTTTGTATCATTAGTTTTTGATGCCTTATTTTGTTAGTAGGTGAAGATGTTGATTCATATTGGCATACTACATCATCTGCATATTGAAGGATTAAGTATTTATTTTAGCACTTATAATTTGACCTTTAACATTTTTTATTGTTGAATTATATATAATAGTGAGATTCATTGTGATGTATACATACATTCACATAACACAATTTGTTCAATTTCATTCTGCAGTATTGCCCCTTCCTTTCACTCCCCCTCTTCCCTCCTCCTCAGTCCCTTTCCTTTATCTTACTGGTTTCCATTCCATTTTCATGAGTTATTTTTAAAAATTTTGTGTCTCTAGCTTCCACATATGAAAGAAAATATGATTCTGGAGTTTTTGATTTTCGCTTATGTCACTTAACATTATTGTCTCCATGATTTTCCTGTAAATGACATATTTGTCTTCTTAATGGCTGAGTAAAACTGATATATATATATATATATATATATATATATATATATATATATTTATATATTATTTTCTTTATCCATTCATTTGTTGACAGATATGTTGTCTCTTTCAATAACTTGGCTGTTATGAATTGCATTGTTCTGAACATATTATGCATGAATCAATAAAGTATGGTGACTTTCATTCTTTTAGATACTGACAAGTGATATAGCTGGGTGATATGATGGTCCCATTGCAGGCCTTTTGATGAACATCCATACTTATAGTATGGCTTTGTGCTTGTCATTCCAGAAATTCTAAGAAGTCAGCCTTTTTTTTTTTTTCTGAATCTGTGGACCTTTTCTTATTTCAGCAACCAACCAATTGCACCCTATATCCACTATTGGTGTCCTGTCACTATTTGAACACTAGATGGAGATCAAAGCCCAGGTTTTTCTGAAATCTGCAATTGGTGTATTCAGAATGAATGAGGTTGTGTTTAAAATGGGTAATCCATCCTCA